CCAATTGTTTAGGATGTCATTTCCCTTTTTCACTGGTGCACGTAATGGAACGCTCACGTCTAACAATTCACTCGCCAACTTGGTGAGATGAGATCCTATTTCTCATTTTCATTTCAGCAGTGCTGGGTGCCCACTCAGTGAGCATACCATCGAAGGAATTCTGGACGCTCCATTGGGCGTGACCATATTCAGCCCTGTGCAACCTGACCTAACCTGACCTATCGGGAGTGATTATTATGCGCCCTTGAGTAATATCCCATGAAACCTGACCTGACTTGATCTGAACTAACCAATACCAGATTTGCGCAAAATCCACTGACGTGAAATCGGAATATCAAATATAATTTGAGTTATTTCGAGGTTTTTGAGCGTCCTTGTTTATCCGGTGTCTCGGTGACATTCCCACGCGCGGCTATCCGAATTTTTCCAGAACTCACGTGTGGTGATCAATGGTGGGTCTTCCGGTCGATTCTAATTCTTTGTGCTGCAGGCGGCTCGTGCTTTCAAGAAATTTCTGCCCCTGTTTGACCGCGTATTGGTCCAACGGTTTGAGGCTGAAACTCTGACCAAAGGCGGCATAATGATCCCGGAAAAAGCCAAGGGCAAAGTTCTGGAAGCGACAGTAATTGCACATGGGCCTGGGTACAAGAATGAGGTACGTCCCCGGTTATGATGTTTATATTCTTTGATAGAAGGGTGAAATTACACCGATGTGCGTCACGGTTGGTGACAAGGTCTTTCTTCCGGAATACGGTGGGACGAAAGTCGTTCTTGATGATAAGGTGAGATCATTCATTTCCTCTTACCGACTGTACAGGAGTATTTTTTGTTCCGAGAATCGGACATCCTGGCAAAATTCGAGTCTTGAAGCTGCATTTCCTTTAGCTCCCTTCCACTGTACAATTACCATTTTGAGTTAATATAGTTTTGATCAGTGCCATGATGCATTTTTCTGTTCCGTATGTGCCTACGGCCACAGTATTACTTATATGGGGACTATGGTAACCTTCGTTTCTCCGCAGGCTCCATTTGTCCCGTCGGCGGTCATGTTTACGGGCTTGATCGTTGAAACTCGTGTGTATTTTGACGGTCATTTTCTTGGAGATTCACTTGAGAGTCACCGGATCGCTGGATGGGATTCGGGTAGTTGTCCCGCCGTGTACTTTACGCTAATACGCCTACTGTTGATGAATGTCCTATCTACCAGTGCCGTCCCGGTAAAGAAGTCATCAATTCGATAATTCGATCGTCATTACGCGCCAACGAAATGTTGGATATAGATATGCGATGGGAATGTCAGTAATGACTGACAAACCAATTGCCGGGAGTTGTTTTGTTTCGAACCGGCCAGCAGTGCGTCTTTTCAGTGTCGCTCCCTGAGCTCGAACACTGCGCTTTCGGATTCTAAATCAAACTCCTCCTTTGCCAGCGACTGACACCTTTTGGTTTCCTTCCCGTTCCTTTTAATAGGCCCGATCCCTACCGTCCTTACCAGTTTTCACTTACCTTGTATGCATTAAGTTTGGCAGCGATGAGTGAATTTCGCCTCAGTTTTACGCTGCGCGGTGATTGTGCGAGTGACGCAAAAGTTTGTAGGGCGTTCCCACAATACGCATTCCACCGGCTGGAAATTGGTGATCCGGATACTGCCCGGTTGAACAGGACTGGATGTTAGCAGGCGTGTCCCCGGCATGTGACTAGGGGTATACCTGTACAAAAGGTTACCGCAAGAAATTAGCAATCGCGAACAAACAGCGGCGACTACTAGGGCGCGGTCGGTGTCCGGCTGGTCACGTGGCTCTTGTTTAAAAGCCCGATGGTGTTGTGACAAAGGTCGATGTGACTGGCCCTTTGAAACTAAAGTCATTGCCCCCCTCATTTCCAAAGCGAGGGATTACTTCCTTCTGTCTTGTAGTTCGCACTTGGTTGTACAAAAGCTTGAGGTGCGCGCTTAATAGAAAACGCCGAGTGACTCTGAGGACGTCTCTCGTATCAAACTCCCAAGGATCATGTCCGGAGCCAGCTTATCCTTTCGAAGAACCCAGCCGCACTATAATAGTATTAGTAATTTCTGATCTCCCTTGGGATGATTTCTGCACCTGAGATCAGTGCCAGTTGCCAATGAGCAGTCGAATGAGATAATACAAGCACGATAATCTGAATATATGTAATTCCGTTTGCCCTATAGGGAACTCGGTATTTGGATTCACATCACTCTGGCACGTCTAAGTGTCGTTAGCCCAGATTGTGATGTGCCGGCCTGGGGTTATGATTGGTTTAGTCCCTTGTTAATTATTTAATGAGCAATTTCTCTTGAATGATGTCACAGTCTGTTCCGCGAAACTACGGATCCGTAGCGTTGTCCATTTAACAGTCTTCAAACTTTAGGCCCTTTCCTATGTGGACATTTCAGTGATGATTTGGAGCTGTCATCTAAATTACTTCTTTGTTGAGCGAAGTGTGAAATCTCTAGGCTTCAGTAACAGAGCATCACCTCACTCAACTGACGGGCGAATATCGGTGAGTTAGTACTGTTGAGGTGTGCGGAGGAAAGAGCAACTAACGTGGTATTTTGTAATTGTTGTTTTTGTTATCTGCGTCATGCCCAAGGAGGACCACACGACCAAACACTCAGCTGATT